CCGCCAGCTCCGGGTGAGTAGGCCCGGTGTCTGCAGCCCCGGCCTCGGGGCCCTGCTCGTCCAGGAGCTTCCGAAGGCTCCTAGGGCGCCACTGCCGGAGGCGGCTTCTCGGCCAGGCCGGAGGCGTCGCGAACTGCGCTGGGTTGGGAGCCGTCCGAGCCGCCGGTCTCTTCCTCCGGGCCACTCAGGGGCGGCGAGTCGGGCGCGGCGGGGAGTTCGGGCTAAGGCTCCTGGAGGCTCCTGGAGTTTGTAGGAAGAATGGCCTCAGGCGGGCAGACGTCGGCCTGAGGTGTCTGCCCTGTGGGGAGGGGGCGTGTGGTGCCTGCGGAACTGGCGGAGGGGGTGCGGGGATGGCCCCCGGGTGGGGCCGGCGCAGGTGACCCGCAGAGGCCCACTCTGAGGGAGAGTTGGTGGCTGCCTGGCGAGCGTGGAAGGGGTTAAGGAGGGTGACAGCGATGGACAAGTGTGTAAAGAGCAAACTAGTTCACCTTTCTAACTGGCCCACTTGAGGTATAATGGCGAAGGGTTGGTAGCGGTGCGGATGCAAAGAGCAGCACCCTCTGCCTCCTGCCGTTTGTTATTGGTGTTTTCTTGTGCCAAGTGGGAGAGTGCACCCTCTTTTTGGGGGGGGGGCGAGACAACGACGGCCGGGATTTGAGAAAGTAATTGAGAAAGCAACCTTAACGGAAAGGACACTGTTGTTAGAATTAGTGCGGATCAGGAATGTATGAAAAGAAGTGGATGGGAAGAAGTGATGGCTGTGAAAAGTATTGGTTAGGTCGTATGTATGCCACGGTGCCTGGTCAACAGTTAACAGAGTAGCGCTTTGGGTAATTTTAATCTTTGGAATTAGTTTATTCACCTGCATCAGATTTGCTCCCCTGATTATATCCTCTTATATTTGAGGTTTACATTCCTTGTGTGCACCCTGGTGAGAGCATGATGGGAGGCTGAAAGGGGCTGGGGCTGTCTGCAGAGAGCAACAGGCCTGGGATTTAAAAATGCCTGCCCATTCGTTCATTTGTTCCAGGGTATCTTCATGAACAGTTGCTGCTGATTCTGAGTCACATGGAATAGCTGGTGGATAACCGGAGAGCTGATGTTTTAAATTAATCAATTTAGTTTGTTTTGAGACCGCTTAAGTCTCTAGGACTTGCTGGCCTGGAACTTCCCTTATAACTGGTGCAGGAATTGCATGCTTGCACCATCATATGTGGAGTGCTGTTTAATTTTTAGTATTTTGGGGAAATGTTTTAATATATCCTCTCATAAGTTTATTGGATGAGCTAGTTCACATTTAGATATGGGTAAGAATTACAGAAGAAATAAAGCTAACTTACTAAAGAGAAATCTAATTTTCTTATTCTATTAAAATCCAGTGGCAGTTAGCCGGGTGGTGGTGGCGCACGCCTTTAATCCCAGTACTCAGGAGGCAGGGCAGGTGGATCTTTGTGAGTTCGAGGCCAGCCTGGTCTACGAGAGCTAGTTCCAGGACAGGCTCCAAAGCTACAGAGAAACCCTGTCTCAAAAAAAAAAAAAAAATCCCGTGGCAGTTTAGTGTTTTAATATTTATTGCTTCCAGTTGCTTTGTCTTAAGTGCACCTGTTAATGAAAAACAAAGTGTGTGTGTATGTGTGTGTGTGTTTATACATATCTAGAAAGTGATTACTTGACATACCAAACCACTTATCTCTTAGAAAAGACTTGCCATATGTTGTAATACTTGTCCTGAGCAACTCTAATGCTAAGAATCACGATGGTCCCTGCCATTAGCTGGCGTTTAGGCATGTTCAACCTTTCCGTGCTTCAGTTTCCTCATCTGAGAAAAACCTCTGACCGCACAGCTTTCGTTGTTGTGAGGCTAGACTGAGTTAGTAGTTAGGAAATTGAACAAGAGCTGCAGCCCAGTTGGTAGAGAGCTCAGCTAGCATGCCTGTAGCCCCAGGTTTGTTTCACCAGCACCACATAAAAGCAGACACTTGCCCACTGAGGAGCCAGAGGCAGGAAGATTACAAGTTCAAGGCTGTCCACAGCTATATATTGAAGCCAACCTGGGATTTTTATGACCCTGTTTAAAAAAAAGTTATGAAATTATTTTAAACAGATGAAAAGGATTATTATGTTTCTGTGAGATAGAAATGGTTTATCTGCAAATCTCTCATGGTGCAGTTAGAAAAATATTCACATTACAACATCAGAATATACCTGTTGCTAATATATTTATGTAGCTATGATTCTCTCTCATGAATTTGAAAAAAGAATATATTGCCTGGCATGGTGATCTTAATGCTAATTACAGATCTCTGTGAGTTTGAGGCCAGATCCGTCTACATAATGAGTTCCAGGCCAGAAAAGGTCTAAATAGAGAGACTGTGTCTCAAAAAAGGAAGAAGAGGAGTAGATAATACATAGGTTTTCTGTTGTTGTTTTTCAAGACAGGGTTTCTCTGTGTAGCTTTGGAGCCAGTCCTGGAACTTGTTTGTACACCAGGCTGGCCTCGAACTCGCAGATCCTCCTGCCTCTGCCTCCTGAGCGCTGGGATTAAAGGCATATGACAGCATTGCCTTGTCCAGGTGGTGTTGGGAAAAAAAGGTAACCTTGGCACTGGAGAGATCAGACTGGATGGTTAAGAGTGCTTTTTGTGTTTGTAGGAGCCCACATTTGGTTCCCAGCACCCATACGCCAGCACACAGCTATCTGTAACTCCGGTTCTAATGGATCTAATGCCCTCTTGGCCTCCAAGGGCACCAGGTACATATGTGGTGCTCATATATACATGTAGGCAAACACTCATGTGCATAAAAATGAATAAATACATAGTGAACTGCAGATGCTGGATTTTCCTCAAGATAAAGAAAAAAATGAAATGCTGGAAGTTAACTTGTTTCTTTGAATTTAATTGAATAGGAATTTGTTCCAGGGTCAGGCAAGTTTAGATCATTCTATCTTTTTAAAGCACCTAAGATTTACTTATGCATTTATTTATTTATTTATGGTGAAACAATGAATTCTTTGCATTGTCACTTGTTTTGTCCTTTGAAAGTCCAGGGATTGATGTAGGTGAATATCAGATCAGGCTATTGTTATTTATGTGCCCCCGTTTGTGTTGCTAATCTATCTTAGTTGTAACTTCATATTTTTTATTGGAACCTGGAAATGACACTGTTCTTATATAGTTACCTCCATCTGTTTTTTTTTTTTTTTTTTTTTACTTATAAAGGACCTTTATTTATTGTGAATGTGAATGTCTATATGCCCATGGGTATGTGTGGGGCGGTCAGGACAGCTTTTAGAATTTTGTTCTACTGTATGGTTGGCAGCCTTGATTGTAAGTGCCTTTACCTGCTAAACCATCTCACCAGCTCTGTTACCTATTTGTTTTGAGATGGTATATGTTGCCTAGTCTGGCCTCCTAGAAGTGAACTCACGTGATTCTTACTCTTCCTAAGTAGGTGGAGCTACAGGTGGGCACCATAGCACCAGGCCTCATCTGTTCTTTTGGTTCACTTGTTATATTTTATTAGATTATGATGTAAA